TGTACAAACATGCGCCAGTGTCGGTAACGATCACGATGACCAGCTACACCAGAACGGACATATTTCGTATCTAATTCAACCCCATGCAACAAAAATTGATACTATGTGTTCATTATGGTCCATTCTTCCTCGACGAACAAGTACATAAGTGACAATATAGTCAAAGACGAGAAAACTGCACAAGAAATTTGCCGTATTTACACGTATCGGCAATGCAAGTTGTCATGCGACTTCCCCTTCTGACGTCACAAGGGGAATTTCTGTATGCAAATGAGAAGCTAATGAGGAGCCTCGTTTTAAAATACACAAAAATAAAGTTGCCGTAGACCGAGTTTAAAACACATTTTTTCACTTAAAAAAATAATTCATGCTTTTAAAATACACAAAACTAAAGCTGCCGTAGACCGAGTTTAAAACACATTTTTTCACTTAAAAAAATAATTCATGCTTAAAAACATAAAAATTAATAATATTTATGTATCAATGGATAATTTTAGGCGTGAAAATAGCAGCCATTTCACAGGCACTTTAAGAGACATTATGAAATCTTGCTATCATGAATCAGATGAATACAGCATGATTGATTGCTCTTTAGGAAATCTACCAATATCAATTTAATTTAAATACTGATTTCACATACCATGTCAATTTAGTTCTGGTTGTTTCTTCAGTTTTGTCAGGACTGCAATGTTCACATAATAACTTAAAAAAGTCATCACCTTCTAGTGAGCTTGGAGGACCAGATTTCAAACAACCTGTAAAGTAATATGGTAAAATCAAATGACTTGCACGCATACTAAAGCTTGCGATAATATTTTTAATAATTAATAGATTACAATTCATGTACCGTATTTGCTGCATAAATTACAGAGGTGTTTGTATGGTCAAAATCAGTAAAAAATAAACAGTAAAATACTGTAAAATACTTATTAATATAATTAATTTTCGCTTAGAATTAATTTTTGCTATTTTTGTTACATTCAACTCATCAGAAATCAGTGAAATAAATTCCATACAAAAAATCTTTTCAGCGAAAATTAATTCCACATCCAGTCTGCCATTTTAAATCTTATCTGAAAAACAAAATTATTTGCATCAAGGTCCCATAATGTCTAATGTATATACCAAGTTTGAACAAAATCCATCTGTAAACAGCCGAGAAATGCTTGATTTTTAGCACAAAAATGGCCGCCATTTGGCCATCTTGAATCAGATCGTAAAACAAATTGACGTGCATATGTATAATATCATGTATAATGTATGTGTGAAGTTTGATTGTGATTGGTCAAGGCATTTCTAAGATACAGGTTCGGACGCATGCACAGACGCGCATACACGCACGAACACACGAAGGTCAAACATAAGTCCCTGTTTTCGGACTGCGTCCAAACGGGGACGAATAAAGTATTTTACAGTACAGTATAAATGGGTAAGCAACAAACAATATTTTTATAATGCTATTCATGAAACCCAAAACAATTTTATATGTACGTGTAATATACAGTGGTTCAGAAATATAGTTTATTTATTTAGGACAGTGAAATAAAATCAACCGAATTGGGACGCAATATTACTAAAGTCCCTAAGGATTAACTATTCACTGAGTTTAATTTTTCTATTTCCAAATTTAATCCACAAGAACAGAATAATTTAAATAGAACTCGTTGTTTCTCAGAAAAAATTCATTAAATATAAAACCCAGTGATATGCTCAAAATCCCCCCAAAAATTAATACTTTTACAGTATAAAAAGTCTCAAGATAAAAAGTATTCAAGAACCCAAAATTCCCATGAACCTGAATGAAAAGTTTCTAAACTGCTTACTGGGTACAACACTTTTTTCTATAATTATTTTAATAATTTAGGACCAAATAATTTTCACATAATTTTATAATGGTTATAGATCTTGATCTTGATACAATTTTGAAAAAAATGATGTTGGTTTTATTTATGAAAAGTGTCAAAAATTTACATTGGAGTTGAACTTACTTATGTGATAAACTCTTTTGCACTGTTCACATTTTAATATCAGTCCATCTTTCTCTTCATTGCAATAACACTGAGCTTCATCTTCTGCACATTTTGATGATTCGGTGTGTGGATCACATTTACTGTCATCAGAAGTATCAATGGTTTCGATATCAATTTCAACGGTTTCACTCTGTAAATAAAATACACAGTCTACCTATATATTTCAATAGAATTCTAATCTTCTTCCCTTTCATTTCAATCCATCCATCTATATCCCAGAGGAAATTAAAATAGTTACATACACACCTTCATTAGAATTCTTCAAAGTGAATATAACTGACTGTTATCCTACCATTATAATTACAAGTGACATCATCAACAAAATATGTATAATAAATGCATTTAATTTTTCACTGGTTTTTATTTTTTTTTATTTTCGTGAAAATTACGATAGAACAGACTCATTATTTCACTTTCAAATCCGTGAAATGAAATACTATACATAGTCGATATGACTTGTATTTACACTGTACTCTGTCAGCAGGGAATGATGGACATAACATACTGAACACGTGCAACTCACTTTGTCCTCTGTGTCTTTTTTCTCTCGATTTTCCATCCTTGTGTTTTCAGTTTCGGTTGTGAACAAGTAGTGAGCCCGAAGCGTTCATGTCTGTTATGTTTACATTCATATTACGAGGGTATAACTTTACGAAACCACGATTTGCTGGACAGTTCCGGTGAAGTGCATGCAGGGAGTGAGAGACATGTCCATTGTACTCGTAGGGGTGTTTGTTTTGCGGAAAACATAATTAATAATCACATACTCATGAAAACGAATAATATTAGTAACACTAATTTGTTGTCACGGACGATATTTTACGTTTACTTGACAAGAAAACACTCAATCAAATAAATACTTGCTGCCCTTTTTTTTCTTTAAAAAAGATCAGGGTTCCAAGCTTCCGGGTTTGCCCAATCACGTGACCAGTGTTATGAGGAAGAAGTTTTCTTCGGGACGTTCCACTTTACTGATTGAGTTATATTGTATATTTTCGTATTTAGTTCAAATTCGACGTTTGGTAAGTACATTATAATCCACATACTTAAACGTTTTAACAGTTTTGTGTCTAATCGACGTTCGTTTGCCCATGAACCTTTAAAAAGACTTGACCAAATTGACTGTTATAGTCACTGCAGGGTATTAAAGAACTTCCTGCTATGGTCAGAGGAACGTTCATCGTGACAAAAGATTTTATCTTCTGTTGTCTGTCGAGTACGAGAAAAATAAATTCACTGGTGCAGTGCAGGCTTCGTGACAACTCCATCATTAGTACACCAGTTAATTCAAAGAAGAAGAATTTTTACTATACTTTAATTCATTATAATAATTTATAATAACTTTATTACTTAACTTAATTACCTTTTGAGGGCTCTGTAAGACAAAACATAAAATACATTTTAAACATATATATTAATAAACTTGTCAAAAGAAATTATTATCATACAATGTATGAATACCATGATGTCAAAATACTTCTTGGTCTGTCCCAAATGAGGTGTATGTGGTGCATATTGTATTGGAAATACACTAATAATAATAATAATGATTTCTTAGAAATAATTTCTGTTACTTGACAACAATAAAATGTTATAGTAATAATATACAATACTTATGATGAAATTATTGGCAATCAATTATAGAAATCAAAAGTAAGTGTGATTGCATTTATTACAATTTTTGGTTGTTCCCTTCTTCTATAACGATGTTTACTTTTAATACAGCTAGTGTACAAAATATGTTAATTTTGATTTCTATGACCATGCCATGGCTCAAATCATCTTTTTTGTATGCATTTTTTTAGGACTGGTAGAAAGTATGGTATTTTTTTTCTTTTTTGAATAAATTTGATTAATTCAAAATTATCATATATTTAGAGGTTACATTTGATTTTAGGTTATACTAAAGATAACTAGTTGTGTTGCGAAAATCTGGTCCACCCCTTTTACAATGGTGTCAAAAACGCTGACGCCACAACGGCATACTCATTTTAACATTGTTCTCAAATAAAAGGCATTGTGACAATGGCTTATTTCATCCAGTGCGAACACCACTATACTCCATTTTAACTTTAAATTATCAAAAACTCCACACCCTGGTAGGGAGAACCCTATTTCCCCCACTTAGTGGCGCCGCTGAATGGCAGTGCTCCCTCTTGCAGTTTTTTTCTAGAAAAACCCCAGTAATTTGTAAGGTTATAAACACCATACTTAATCACATTATATTTATATATGTTTTTATACTTTCTTTCATACAATTGTTTTATTTCAGTAGATATTTGTCCAGTTGCCTTATATCAGAACGTTCCATATGTTTGATCACTGCTGAACAAGATGCTTAGGTTTAGAAAAAAAACAGATGACCCTTACAAATTTAGATATTTCCATGGACGTATTACTCGTGAGGAAGCAGAGAAGCGACTTAAAGATGCTGGATGCTCGACAGGACTATTTTTATTGCGTGAGAAATTACTAGAGAGTGGCAGCTACTCGCTGTCATTGTGTTTTAACTCAATGGTGTACCATTACTCTATTGATAAACAAGATGACGGCACTGTTGCTATCGAACAAGGAAAACGCTTTAATGGACCCATTGATTTTGTCAACCACCATCAAGTGCATCTGGATGGATTACTTTCAAAGCTGCTCCGACCATGTAATCTTCCACAAGGTATGGAACCAGAGATGGCTGAAGGAATGAGCCGTAGTGCATTACAAGCAGACATCCATCAGGCTGCCCATGATATGGTATGTATAGTGTTTTGTATTCACTGGGAATGAGATTTATACCTTCATGGTTTTAGAGGACAGTGGTCATCACGTCACGCATGTAGCACATTTTGTTGATAATATTATGTATGTGAGTTTTGATCTGGGCAAAATGGCAGATCATTGTTTACCTGATACACCTAATTGATACTCATGTACAGTATATGTATTTCTTTTTTTGTACTCTTGTATAAAACAAATAACAAACACACTTCTTTTATAAGCCTATAGACTCTGCATTCACTTAGATAATTTAAACATCTAGAATTGGACATCTGGTGTAAAGAATCTGTTGACGCATTTAAACATTTTTGGAGTCACATTTGTGAAGAAACCCATAATAAGGATGAAAGCTGCCTAAATCAGTTTCTGAAAAACTTGCAGCCATCTTTCAAACATACTGTTTAGAGTTAATGTATGAAGATAATAAGGGAACAAAACATTAGGATAAATTTCGCACATACAATGTACAGACATCAAAAAACAAAATTCACTCTTGAAAAATATTTAGAAACTGTGCAAAATCCTTTCCCCATGACCAAACAAAGAATCAGTGCTTACATGTATATGTTAGAAATAGAAACTGGAAGACACAAAAACATTAACATTTCAAAAAGAAAATGTCAGTTTTGTCAATTGAATGAAATAGAAAATGAAGAGCACTTCGATCTTAAATGCTGCCTTTATAAGAAATAAATAAATTACCTCCTCAAAAATTTGCTACTACCTCCCTCTCAAACTTTTTGACAAAGGAAAAATAGTCACAATACTAAATAATGGTAGCATAAAATTGGTTCCTCAAATTGCTAAGTACATCCATGATTGTTTTAAAATTCGAGAGAACAACTTGAAAAGAGTACTACAGTAACTATTATTATTATTATTATTATCTGGGAAAATCAAATTAGATCAAATCAAATCAAATACAGTAGTACATGTATGTCTGTAATGCATAATGATTAATGTTATCAACAATCCTATTCGTATAGGCACCCATATCTGGCACATACATAGCACAACATCCATCATCTTTTAAGACAACAAATGCTTTAATTCACTACGTTCAATTACCCACCATAGACTCCGGTCAGTCAAAATGACTATTTTGAACTGTATAGGCATTAATCAGCGATTCTGCCGGTGACGGAGAGATAGAATCCAGGTCAGGGGAAGCCCAATGACCTCAAGATTCTTTTACCCCTTACGTCACAAACCCACGTGACCGAGACCACCTGGCAGCGCCACAGGTAGCCGTCCATTTTCTCTTCGCCTCAAGTAGAGATGAAATCTAGCGAGCTCTGCTGGATCGCCTGCTTTTTTTTTCCTGTCCGGATTTATAGCTTGGGTTGTTGCCGCTGCACGGCATCCGACATTGTAGCTGGTAGGATAAGTTTTCCTTTCATTTTTACCCTCATGTCGTTTTCCCTTTTGTGTGTAGTATTTTTCACAACAAAGAAATTAAAATCCGGCGTCACTACGTAACCAGTTGGTTTTCATGGCGGCTCTTTTTACAACTGTAATTCGTTTACCTCATGCATGTCGTCTTTTATTTTCAATGTATTTAGCAATATATAGATGTAATGACAGCACCAGGGCTCGTTGCCGTTTTCTTTCCGGTCTCCTCGTGTTTCGAGTCGACCGTGCAGTGGTTATATTCAGAATTTACCAGCATAGAACCCGCATCCGAGACACTTTGTCGTAGCTACGTGCGGGTTTCGGGGTTTTTGCATGAAAACATGTTTTTTTCACTGGAGTTCTGAGGCCTGTGATTTTCTTTCAGAGCCATCAAAATCGCTGAGACTGACCGCGTCACAGCAAGGTCGCGCGCCCAGTAAACAAATCGTTTAAAGTGAGTTGCATGTTTTGCTTGAGTGGAAAGTCCTCATGCTCGGCTACCGGTACTTCATGTACCGGGACGTCGAGTAAGAGGCCCGACTGTGGAGGTACCAATATTTTTCTCGGTCTCCCCGCTGATCGGAGGGCATCCTCACAGTCTGTTTTTTCAGGCGGTGTTTTACTCGATTTTACCGGCTGCAGCAAGGCTGTGCTCCTGGAGGCTTTCCTCCTATGAGGCCTGTTTCGGGTCTCTTTGTGGACCCTTCCTCGCATGGCGCCGGGTTTGCCTCCGAGTTGAGGGCTTTGGTCGAATGACTGTCGGAGCATTTGCGTCCCTGGCAGGCCGGGTAGATCAGACGCATTCGGAGCGAGCTGTCTCCACTGTGTTCCCTCGGTGGGCAACCAGGAAGAGACACGAAAGCATGTTTGCATTCAAACACGTCTCTTCCGGGGAACCCCCGTTCCCAGTAACGGCTCTCCCACTATTTTGGGGGGTGACGGAGGCTCAGGCTAATTGCCCCGGTCCTTCTCTGGATCCTCGGGCACTGAATGCCAACGGGGTGCTGGCAGCCAAGTCTCCGATCTCGGGGCAGGGCTTTCAGGGCAGGATACACGTTGACCCCCACCCCCACTTTCAGCCAGCTAGGGTTCGTCACGCGGTAACGGGACAACGGTAACGAATTTATCTTGTGTCCGATCCCCGCTGTGGGTTTTGACTCCTTTCTTACCGACCCACGGGCGTCCCCAGAGGGAACCGACCCTGTCATTAGACACACAGTCGAACACGCTCCCTCTCACATATTTAAAGTGAAAGGAGACGCAGTTCGCTCGCGTCGGATACAGCCGGTACTCCGGGCAGTCCCTCAGAGTCTTCCATCTGTATGACTCGGTGAACCACGCTTTTGGGATGAGGCGGAGTATCATCGATCCCAGTGATACGATGTATATACCCCAGCCTTGATCCTAAAGCGACCACCTACGGTTGCTTCAACGCTTATGGGATCACGGGCGTCGGGATCCAAAGCAACCCCGTCGGTGCGTCTCTCCCTGTCCGCCTGAGTGGGGCGCAGAGCACGCAAACTGTGTTGGTGGACGGCGATGGTCAGCCGCGGAGGATGTAATGCTTAAGGCCCCCGGGTGGGTATAACATTAGGCAACACTTCCCACTGGACCAAACGCTACCCGGTTGGTGTGGTTTCGGGATCAGACCCCATAGCGTGGGATGTGAGACCAAAATGCCCCCAACCGGATTCCAAGGCTCCTTTCCCAGACCCCGGTACCACGAATTTGGCAAACCGGGCAAAGGGGGGGGATAGCCGTGTTCCATGGGTGTCTTTGCCAATTGGTCCTGCCATGGGCAAGCAGAGGGCACCCCAAGCACAGAAAACACAATGCCCTAGGACGTTGTCCGCTAACCAGAGTCAGCCAGGAGGCAAGCACTTATACCCTTCCATGGGAGGGAAGGGTAGTTGCACGCCCCCAGTGAGGTAAGAGCCAGGTGGTAGCTCCTCACCCTCTCTGGGCGGACGTCTACCCGGCAGCAGGGGAGGCATGTTTGACGCTCACCTCTGCAACCGTTGAGGACAGGCACGTGTTCGGTGAATGGCCAGGTTACAACTTAGTGACTACTTCAGGCCTTGGGGAACTCACCTCATGGGGAAGGGAGCACCCCCCCCCCCCTCACAACTGCCGAACACATGGCCACATATCCCTGTCGTACACAGATTGCGCCGGTGTAGTCCGGTTTGGAGATGGCGGGTGACCGATCCCTGGACCTTTCCAGGTGGTGACATCCTCTTACGGGATACTGCTGAAATCTCCATTTCCCCCGTCAGTGTCTTCCCTGTTGGGCACTGCCAGGGGACTCCCGCAAGGCGGAAGTAATCAGACAGGAAGTAGCAGTTTGCTGGGGAAAGACCCCATACACAGGGTACATCAGCCGGAACTAAGGCCAGGCTTCTACCCAAATGTGTTCGTAGTATCAAATCTACAAGTGGCAGGCGTCCAGTTTTGGACCTAGGCAGACTGAATCAGTACGTGCTCCTCGATCGGTTCCACATGGAGACATCATTCATGGTTCTTCTCTCTATCCACCGTTTTGACTGGCTAGCCCCGCTAGACTTAAGCGGGGCCGACCTGCACGTACCGATGCACCCAGCGAGTTGCCATCTCCTTCGAATCGCCCAGCTGGGCCAAGTATTCAAATTTCGGGTGCCCCTCCCGTTTGGGTTAGGCACAGCGCTCTACGTGTTCACCAGAGTGATGAAGCAGGTAGTGCTGCTGCATCACCAGATGTCGGTACACCTCAATCCATACCCAGACTTCCGGTTACCAACAACCCGGGCAAGGGGTAATAGCCAAACGCGTCAGGCTAACACGGGATTTACTTCACCAGATGGGCTCGTTAGTAAATCGACAAGTCCCACCTCGACCCAACGCGCAGTTGGTGTACCTGGGCATGGAGTTTTGACACAGAGGTAAGCTTGGCTTAGCTATTTCAAGCCTATTGCTTAGCGCTAAGCAGCCTAGCCGAATGCCTAGTCAGCGTTTCCTCGGTGTCCCTCCGTGAACTAATGCGGGTCATCGAAATGATGACCTCGGTTCGAAAGGACGTTCCCCAGGCCGCACTACGCAGCCGCCCGGTATAATGCTTGTTATAACGCTGAGCTCTCCTATGGGAACTAGATAGGCGGGTTTCGATCTCGGACCAAGTGAAGGAAGCCCTGTCCTGGTGGTCGTCACTGGCCAACCTTGGACAGGGGAGCCCCTTGGGCTCGCTCGCCGCAGGTATGACTCTGGTAACAGATACCTCCCCCCAGGGTTGGGGAGCGCATCTATTGGGCCACCAAGCCCAAGGATATGGCCCTGCATTAGTTTTGGGACTACCATATCAACCGGCTCAAACTGAGAGCAGTGTACTTAGCACTACCACGCTTTCTACTTGTAGTTCGAGACCACAGAGTCCTGCTCCGCACAGGCAACGCAGCGGTGG